GCTGCCCAGGGGGTTGTGGAGTCCCCTTCTCTGGAGACATTCCAAACCTCCCTGGATGCAGCCCTGTGGGATGTGCTCCAGGGGATCCTGCTTTGCTGGGGAAGTTGGACTAGATGATCTCTAGAGGTCCCTTCCAGCCCTGGCAGTTGTGTGAGGCAGCAGTTGGTTTATGCACTCATCAAACACTGGCAGGAGAAACTGCCTGCTGTTGTCTCCTGTCCCTTCAGAAGCCTGGCAGGCTGTTACAGTTAGCTGACACTGGGTCAAGTGACCTGCAAACTAAACAGTCAAGCCTGCCCATGTTGTCATGGTTTATTAACCAAAGATCAAGAGAAATTAGATTAAGTATGTTTAATTATGGGCTAAACTCTGAAAGGAAGCAGGTGCACCTCAAGTGCACATTGCAAGTCTTTCTATTGAATTTTCTGTGTTCTTGTAGTTCAGGGCTGTTTTTTGAAGCATGCAGTGCATTGCAGGGCCTTGGGAGCTGCCTGTGCCTTTATGCATCTGGAATTGCCTGGGGCCTACAAGAAGTTTTTGCCTCCTTAGCTCCTGCAGAACTGATTTTGCTCCTTGAAGACAGGTCTGCAACTGGAAGAGATACCTGCTGCTGTGCAGCCAGGAGGGGAGCACAATCTCCCCTGGGAGCTTTACTGAGAGAGAGCAGAGGGCTGTAGAACAGCCAACACATGGCACAGGCTGTGATCAGCTGGGCATAGAGGCTAGAGATGGGCTATTATGGTATGGCAAAGATTGCAGGGTATTTCATCTTTGGCTGTTCTAGTTCATGTGTCTTTCTTTTCTCTCCAGGGAGCCAGTGTATGGATACACTCCTCTGATGGAAGCAGCTGCTTCTGGCCATGAGATAATTGTTCAGTACCTTCTCAATCATGTAAGTGTCTGGACAGTTCTCTGTAAAGCTGAAAATCTGTGGTTCTAGCCTTCAGAGGAAGAACCACAAGCTTGACACTAGACTTTTTACAGTGTTATATTTGATCCTTGATGACAGTCACCTCTGAAGTCCTGGACTTCCAGGACTGTGCTGAAAGTGCTTTCTAAAGGCCAGTGTTTTGATTGTCCTCTGGCCTTGCATGAGTAGGAGTGAGGTCTGACTGTCCAGATTTAACTGAATAATGACTGAATTAGAAAACACACAATGCAGGAACCTCTGTGTTGTGTTCACAGGCTTGTGTGCTTGGGCTGGAGGCATCTTCTACCTCCAGAAGTTCATGAGTGTGTTATGGCTCTTGATGTTGAACAATCTGGTTTTAATATCCCTTGTAGTTGATCCAGCTTCCAGAAGGAGGCAGCAATGCCGAACATTTTTCAGCTAACACAGACTAGTTCCCTGTGACAAAGCACAGGAGCCATGTGCCTGGGCTGCCTGGCATTCTGGGACTGGGGACACTAAGGGTAATTAGAAAGGCAAAAAGGTGGAGCTTGTCTACAAAAGATGAACCTGTACTTCTCATAGGCTTGAAGGAACAAAGAAAATCCTTTGGCTCCCTTGAATTTTGGTGTCTTGTGTCCTCTGTTGTGTCCATGTTAGATGTTTTGTTCCCCAGGGAGTGAAGGCAGATGTCAGAGATAACACTGGAGCCACAGCAAGGACCTTGGCCATGAAATATGGACACACAAAGATTGTGGGGCTGATAGATCTGCATGCAGCCCCAGTGCCCAAGGTCTTCTGCAGGGGTCCAGGTAACATGTTTTAATTTGTTCATTTTAAAGTAGAACCTGGAGAAAGGTGTTTTATGTCTTGTAAGGGTGATACTATGTGTCTGGGGTAGTACCAGCTGGTCTGGCCTGGAAATTCAGGCATTTCTGAGGATAGGAAAGGTTTGGATTCAACCCTTGTTTGTTTGCTGGTGCTTTTCTGACCTGGTTAAACTGTTCCACCCTCCTTCTTGTAACAGTTTATTTTCCACCCTATTTGTAGGATCAGTAGCAACTAAAGTGGGTAAATCAGCTACTGTGCTGCTAACAGTCTTTGTTTGAAATACAGGGAAATATGAAGAGCTGAGTTCCTCAGATGAATCATGTTCTGCTCCCCAGAGACAGAGACCTGTTCGTAGGACCAAAGGTCCCAGCATCCACGATGGGCCCCAGGCCTTGGCTAAGATAACTGCAGTTGGAATTGGGGGGAAGAAGCAGTCTTGCTATGGTGAGAATAGTTAAACCCTCATTGAGAGTCCTTTAAGCTCTCAAATGCTTTTCAGCTCTTTCTGTGCCTTTTTGTTTCCCTTTTTTTATTTGGGATTCATGTGTGGCTTGTGCAGAAACCAAGATGGTGGACACTACAGGGCAATCCAACCTCTGGCTTAGAAAGGAAGCCCCTTGAACTCTCTTGTCAGGGATGGATGTTGATGAGTGCAGCATTTCTGTGGAACAAACATGGCTCTTAGCTGAGTCTCTGTTCCCCTGACTCTTGAGAGCAGTCCAGCTTCCCTCTTTGAGCTGAAAAGTTTGAGAAGCCTTCTCAGGCTGATGACAGGGGAAGTGGTCACGTAGGCCAGGAGATCAGATCAGGAACTCACTGCTCCTAGACCACTCAATTCTGTCTTCCCTGCTTCCTCAAATACTATGAGATGATAAACCCTTTGCAGGAGGCCAAAGTAAATAATCCCAGTTCAGAGATCAACCCCTGGCTGCAGTGGAATGGGTTTTGGTTTTTGTGTGTCAAGCAGAAGTGATTCTCGGGCTGATTGCTCCTTGTCTGGAATAGCCAGGAACATGTTCCAAGTTCAGTTCATTCTCTTAACACAGATACATGGCATCCTACAGGCAGTGGCTGTGCTGAAATGGTACTGTCAGCCCCTGAAATGATATTGGGATGCTGATGGTGTTCTAGGGCAGGACCCTTGCTCTCTTTAGCAGATGTCTTTGATAACCTTTGATATCAAAGATCCCTTTAATTTGGATATGAAGAAGAGATGAGATGCTGAAAGCTGCTCTTTAAGGTGCATCTCTGCCATGAGGCTGTTGCCTCTGACTTTTTGCAGTGCAGCCATCTAAAGCAAGTACAGCTGATGTGTCTAGGGAAGGCTGTAGGCATATGCATTTACAAGGGCTTGTGGTGAGAGGAAAAGGGGAATGAGTTAGAAATGGAAAAGGGGAGATTTAGGTGAGACATGAGGAGGAAATTCTTTGGTGTGAGGGTGGTGAGAGCCTGGCCCAGGTTGCCCAGGGCAGCTGTGGCTGCCCCATCCCTGGCAGTGTTGAAGGGCAGGTTGGATGGGGCTTGGAGCAACCTGGGCTGGTGGGAGGTGTCCCTGCCCATGCAGGGGTTTGGAACCAGATGACTTTTAAGGTCCCTTCCAACCCAGACCTTCTATGATCCCTGCTTTGTGTGCTTTTTAGAACAGAATCTACCAGTTCAGGCTTCTCTTCTGATTATTTTCAAATTCCTGAGTGGTTGCTTTTCCTGCTGGAGCCTCCATAGTAACTTGCATCCTTATCTGGATTGCTTCTCCCTTCCTGTTGCCCACAGAGCAGGTCCCTCCTCAGGGCTATGTGACCTTCAAGGACGATGGCAGCTGTGAAGCAGGTGACATCCGGAACCGGGACGTCACCTCTCCCATTAATGAGCAGGATGTGGAGAGCAGCAGCAGCAGGGGTAAGCTGGGACTCCAAACAGTCTGGTCTGCACTGCACACCTGGATGTGAGATCAACCCCTTGGTTGGCATGTTCCTTTTCCACTAATGTTGAGGATTGGAGTGCCTTTCATGAGGAAAGGCTGTGAGAGCTGGGCTGGTTAAGGCTCCAGAAGAGAGAGCTCTGTGGGAATCTTATGAGACTGTACAAATCTGAAGGGAGGGTACAGAGATGATGGAGCAAGGCTGTTCTCAGTGGTGTCCAGTGGTAGGACAAGAAGCTCTGTGCTTCTTTCCTTCACACCTCCAGCACAGTTTGCTGGTAACTGTGTAGCAAAACCAGCACTGCATGTAAGGAAGCTGGACCTCCAACTCTTCTTTTCCATATTCCTTTCCAGAGGATAATGTTTCCTTCACCAACAACTTCACGACTGTCAGGAGCAGCAGCAGCAGCAGTGAGTGTCTGACTAGGGCCCTGGGGGTCAGCAGTGAAGGGTCCTTGGAAAGCAATGAGGTGGGTTTCTCAATTTTCCCTGTCTTCAGCCTGGCAGGTGCTGTCAGCCTCAGTCTGCCAGGACCTCTCTCCATGGGAGGCTGCAGTACCAGGCTGCCTGGGTGTGCCAGTATCACAGGGACAGGAAAACCAGTTTCCCTATTGGAAGATAATGGATTGTTTGATCTCTGACTAGTAGCCATCTCTTAGAGCCACGTTCATTCTAGATTGTTGATGGCTAGTCAGTAATGTTTAAGCTCTCTCCAGCTTCTGGGCTCTTTGCAGCCTTCTGTCTAGAAGGTGGACAAGAAAGGCTGTGACTTGGTAGAGCTGAGTCAGGCCTGGGGCCTGGTGAGGCAGCAGGCAAGAGTCAGAAGCACAGCAGGGCTGTGGTGACATTTCTGAAGCAAAAAGGGGGAAGAGTTTGGAGGATACTCAGTAGTTCAAGTCACAGCTTGCATGGCTCAAGTTCTGGGGCTGATGTGCAGAAGGGTGACAGCTGAACACGAGCAGAAGTCCTTTATCTTGAGGAGCTTCTTACAGGTGGAACCTCGGGGTGTTGTATTGATTCATGGAGGGTTCAGCATTCTGGTTTGCTCATCCATTTGGAACTAGATGGTCTCTAAGGTCCCTTCCAACCCAAACCATTCTGGGATTTTTCCTAAAGCTGTGATTGCAAGAGCCTGAAAACCATCCTGTGGTACCAAGCTGCCACCTTGGGAGTGCCCTGACTCATCCCTCCCTGCTGAGAGCTTCGTTAGGCTTAGGACTTGCAGTCTGCACTTGTTAGCTGTGCTCATCCTGGCATCTTGGCATGTTCCTCATGGACTTTTGTGGGGTTTTTTTCTTTGTCAGGATTCTGACCATACAAACAGCCCCCCTAGTCGGAAGCAGGCCAAGAGCTTCAAGCTGAAGCCCCGCCACGGCAGCATTGAGGGCCAGTGGACCCACTGCCCAGCAAAAGCTGGGGGCTCCAATCAGCCCCTCATCCTTCCTGAGCCCCCTGCCTATACAGGGCCCCAGGTAACTATGCACAGAAAGTTGTCTCTGAAGTAACACAGACCATGTCACCATCTCAAGCTTGGGAAGCTTTTCCAAGTTGGCCTACACTGCTTTCTTGGCCTGCTTGGGTAGAAGGGAAGTCCCCAAAACACCTTTTGTTCCAGACCCCTGCCCAAACTTGAATGTTTGTGAAACAGCCAGTTCTTGTTCAAAGAACTGTCTGCTTAAGTGTTGCCATTGCTTGGAGGAGTATTCTACACCCTCAGGCCTGTGGATGTGCTACCAAACGTGGCTGTACAGGGTGGGGTCTGGGGTAGATGTTAGCGTGTCCTTGCATTTGTTACAAGAGGCAGTGGCTGCAGCAGACAGGCTAGTCCTGGTGTGTGGCCACAAGAAGTAACAGTTGCTGCTAGAACCAGGAAGGTGTCACAGCAGATGTGAACATGGCAATGTTTTTGTTCCTGAGGGTATAAATAAGTTTGTTTTGGGTGGGCTGCAGGACCTGGCAACATTCCTGGAGCAGATTGGGTGCCTGAAGTATCTACAAGTGTTTGAGGAGCAAGATGTTGACCTCCGGATCTTCCTGACCCTCACTGAGAGTGATCTGAAGGAAATAGGCATCACGTGAGTGTCTGTACTGTAGCTCTCATCTTTTCCCTTCCAAACTATGGTCACAACCTGGTCAGGAAAGTTGACCTAGTGAGTGTTTCAGTTGTGGTGCCTCCCACACAGCTTTGCTGTCCCCTAGTTCACAGCCGCAACACGCTCCTGGTTTTGAAGTTGCCTTGGAGGAGCCAGGAGAAGTTCTTGGAGGCCCTCCTGGTCATATCCCGTGTTCCTAGGAACAGGTGGTGCTGTGCTTGGTCCCCCCTGACAGTTTGCTCTTCTCCCCCAGCCTCTTTGGCCCCAAGAGGAAGATGACCTCTGCCATCGCCCGGTGGCACAGCAATGCACGCCCACCCAGCGACGCCCTGGAACTGGCCTATGCCGACCGCCTGGAGGCTGAGATGCAGGAGCTGGCCATCCAGCTGCACAAGGTAAGGCTGCTCTGAGCTCTCAATGCCTGGTCACACTGCCATCAGTGATGGCAGCATGTTTTTGTTGCACCTCTAATAGCCTGGGGTGGAGGAGAAGACTTAACTTTCAGTGGTGGCATTTGGTGTCATATAGATCAGGTGAAACAGCGTGGCTTATCTGCTCGTTGTCATCTGTGCTTGTGAAGCCTTGGTGTCTGTTTCCCACCCACCTGAGAGCATCTGAGGAGCTGTTGGAGTGAGTTCACAGGAGGCCATGAAGGTGACCAGAGGCTGGAGCAGCCAGGCTGAGAGAGTTGGGGTGTTCAGCCTGGAGAAGAGAAGGCTCCAGGGAGACCTTAGAGCACCTTCCAGTGCCTGAAAGGGGCTCCAGGAAAGCTGGGGAGGGACTTGGGACAAGGGCAGGGAGGGAGAGGACAAGAGGGATGGATGAAAACTGGCAGTGGGGAGATTGAGGTTGGACATGAGGAGGAAATTCTTTGGTGTGAGGGTGGTGAGAGCCTGGCCCAGGTTGCCCAGGGAAGCTGTGGCTGCCCCATCCCTGGCAGTGTTGAAGGGCAGGTTGGATGGGGCTTGGAGCAACCTGGGCTGGTGGGAGGTGTCCCTGCCCATGCAGGGGGTTGGAACTGGATGATCTTTAAGGTCCCTTCCAACACAGACCATTCTGTGATTCTTTGAAAAGGGTAAACAGGAGGAATTGGATATCTGCTCTTTTTCACTTGTGTCATTTTCATGGTCAAGTTGTGCAGCCATTGGTGAACAGCCAATGAGTTAATTTGAGAAACTGGACCTACTGAGTGTGTCTCCAAATGGAGAGGAAGGAGGAATTGTAACTGTGGGGCTTGTCTTGGTGTACAAGCTTTATCCTTCCCCATTGAGCTGGATGGACTTCTGCAGGAGCTTGAGCTGTCTAGGCCATTAAAGTAGGAGGGGCTCCAGGGATGTCAGAGCAGGCACAGCACTCCCACCCTAATGCCCTGTCCTGCTCTGCTCTAGAGGTGTGAGGAGGTGGAGGTGATGAAGGGCCAGGTGCGCCAGGAGCAGAAGCTGCGTGCAGTGGCCGAGAGCTGTTTGATGGAGAGGGATGAGACCTGGAATGCTATCCAGTGCCAGCTCAGAGAGGCACAGGCCATCACCAAGGATGCTGGAGTCCTGCTGGATCAGATCAAGTAAGTTGTTGCCAGGACATGGCACTGAGGCTACTGGAAAATGGGATTTGGGCCTTACAGAAATCAGAGGTCATACTGGCAGTCCCCCAGGTGATGCTTAGGGTGAGGTAGGAGAGCTCACCAGGCATCAAGAACCCATTTTGGATCCTTTCTGACTTTCTCTAGTGGAAATCCACGGCCACGTGAGTAGCTGTGAAGCCTTAATCAGATGCATGAGCTAAAAATCTCTTGACGTCAAAGATGCTGAGTGCTCCTCTTTCAACTTGAAGTCTCTTAGGCCCTTTGGGACCAAAAGACTAAGTTTTGTGCTTACAGGTGTCAGTACCCAGGGTATAATTTGCCGATGAGGTGAATGCAGGAAAGAGTTTCTAACTTCCAGACCACCCCAAAGGGCTTGCAATGCCTTGCCCTGGCTAGAAAGCTTTTCTTGCAACTCTGACACCCAACAGACAAGCCATTCATTCCCACCCCCCTGCCTTTGAGTTCTCTCTTCCCCACCTTCTAATACATCTTTTGATGCCCTTGGTGGTGCTTTTCTCCCTGCCCTGGTTGGACTCCTGTCATGGGCCCTGTTCTTTCCACTGATAAAACAGACAAACCCTCGAAGGTGGCATGAATCCTACTGCTGTTGTTCCTGGCCCAACAGGGAGTGAGGCCTGCTCATTACCAGGCCAGGGAAAACTGGGTTTGGCTTCCAGAAGGAGAACAGGACAGTCCCCCAGTTGCAGGGTGCAGGAGAATTGTCTTTGCTCCCTGACTGAGGAGCTGAGGCTGCTTGCAGGGCCCTGCCAAGCTGTGGGGACACCCTGTTGGAGCTGAAGGTGTGATGATGTGAGCCAGAGAACCTTGTGTGCCTCTTTCACCTGGTACCTGTGCTGAAATAACTTCCTTTGCCCTTTAGAAGCCTCAGATCAGGCTCAATACTCATATAAACCAGGCGCAGCCCCTGGCTTGGGCTTCCTGCTGCTCACCCAGCCCCCTCCTTCTTCTCCCCCCGCAGCTCCTCTGTGGCCAGGGGCAGATTGCTGTGGAGATGGGGCACAGTGGAGAAAGCCCTGAGCTTTGCTGGGGCACGGCTTCCTCTTCCTGGGAAGGAGCAAGGAGCAGTTTGTAACCCAGGGCCTTAGATGTGGTCCCTCGGCACCCCAAGCAGGTACTTGCAGGATGTAGGAGTGCACAGACTGCCATGTTGGCCTGCCATGTGGCCTGGTGCACTTCTGATGGGCTTTTTTGTTTGGCAGGTCCTGTCAAGCAGAGCTGTCCTCCAGGCTGACCCAGGAGCAGGCAGGGGGCAGAGCCCTGGACACGGAGGTGCAGTTGGGATCTGGTGAGGGCAGGCGACCTGCTGAGCGTCCAGGTGAGCTACCCAGACTTCCCAGAGGGGTGGGCAAAGAGCAGGACAGCCTGGAGCAAACCCACAGGCTTGTCTGCCAGTGTTGAAGGGATTTGGAAACAGGTGAGCAACCAAACTTGGACATCTAATGCAAAAATTTTTGCTTGAGGGAAAGCATTTTTAAAGCCCCTGGTGTGTTTGGACTTTGAAGCAGTTTCTCAGCAAGTGGGGAATTTTGGGGCCTGGCAGGTGTTTTGTGGCTGAAAAGGCTGTAGCATAGGCACCCAATTTTGGGGGCTGTGCCCTCCCCTCCCTGTGCTGCAGTGGGTGGGCACCTTGGGGGCACTAGAGCAAGGTCTGATTAGGAGCTGTGGGTGGTTCCCTGAGCCAGTCTGGGGGATTGTGCTGCCTGGGGCAAACTGCTGGATGTGGCTGGGCAGGCTTGGCCCACCAGCTTCTTGGCACCAGATGCTGGCAAATGATCCTGCTGCCTGTGACACTCTTCAGGGGTGGGCTCTTTGCTGCTTGTGTTTTCAAAGTGAGACAAGTAGAGATTCTGTTGAATTCTGTCCCCTGCACTTAATCTCTTTGAGAGTCTTTTCCTAAATGACCTAGCCAATATAAAAAAAACATCTTAAGTGATAAAATTGCCAGAAATCACCTCAGTTTGTCACAGGCAGTTCCAGCTCTCTCCCTGTGTCACTCACTGGAGCCACTTTGGGTGTGGGTGCTTCTCAGCAACACCAAACCCTTGTTTTCCTTCTGTGACAGAGCACCCTGATTAACTGTGGTTCCTCTTCCTTGCAGTGCTGGAAGGGTGGCCACCTTCCTTGAAGGCTCTGAGCTTGCCTGAGCTGTCAGCTGTCCTAGAGGAGTGTGTGGGAGAAATGGGTAAGCTGGGGGAAGACTCTGGCCAGCTGAAGTGACATGTGCTGGAGGGAAGGCATGGCTGGGCAGGGTTTTGATGCTTTGGCAGTGGTAAGTTGGAGGGACTCAACAATCCCCCCCTCATTCAGGGAAATCTCCAGGCTCTGAAGTTGGTGCTGATACTTTCTTGTGCTTAATCACACTGCAAATCTTGGGTTCTGCCTCATGCTCTGCCAGGTCCAGGCTGAGGGGAGAGGATGTGTGTTCCTGCTGCTTCTCTTGTGCTCAGAGCTGCTCATGGAGTGGTTCCCAAGCCTGTGTCCTGGTCTTCTGGTGATGGGAACTTATCCCAGCAACAGGCAGAGTAGAGACATTCCTGTCTTCAGGACACTGGAAGCTGCAAGGGAGAAACAGCATAGGGACAGGAGAACAGTGGCTGAATGCAGCTGGTTTGGGTTGGAAGGGACCTTAAAGATCATCCAGTTCCAACCCCCTGCATGGGCAGGGACACCTCCCACCAGCCCAGGTTGCTCCAAGCCCCATCCAACCTGCCCTTCAACACTGCCAGGGATGGGGCAGCCACAGCTTCCCTGGGCAACCTGGGCCAGGCTCTCACCACCCTCACAAAGAAGAATTTCCAACTCATGTCCAACCTGAATCTCCCCTCTGCCAGTTTCAATCCATCCCCCTTGTCCTCTCCCTCCCTGCCCTTGTCCCAAGTCCCTCCCCAGCTTTCCTGGATCCCCTTCAGGCACTGATCTTTACACCTTGCTGGCCTGTTCCTCACACTGATTATTTTTGTTTTCCCTTTTGCTTTATCTTCAGGAAAAGCTCTGCAGACTGTGACTCAAAACCTCCAGAGGCTCCAAGCCCCAGGGCAGAGCTGGCTAGAGCCCTAACAGAGCAGGAGGGTGAGTGACAAGGAATGACAGCCAGGAGGGCTGTGACCTTGAGGGGGGACAGTGTTCCTCACAGCACTGACAGCCACCTGCTGCTTGTGCTCAGAGCCTGCACACTTGAGGCTCTGCTCTAACTAGTTCTGTGTGTCTTCTGGCTGGTTTTCCCTTTGGGAAGTCCTTGTCCTGCCCCACTGAGAGGGTGACTGTCCTGTTTTCCCTCCTGGTGGCTGCAGGAACATTGACGTCGGGTGACTGTTCCACCCGGAAGCTGAGTGTGCCTGGGAGAGTGAGCACCAGGGCTGTGCTGGCAGCACCACAGCTCTGCTGGGAGTGCCACAGCAGCTGGTGGATGCATGGAAGAAGGTCCCAGCCATCAGAAAATGTGTCTGAGGGAACGAGGGACAGCAGAAGGTGACAACCCAACAGCTTTTTGGGCCTGGCCGTTCCCAGGATCATTGTTCATTCAAAAAGATTAAGTTAAGAGGAGAAGCACTGAGTCCAAAAGGTTTATTTGCCTTAAGCTTCCTGCAGCCCTTGGCATTTAGGCCTGTGTGGTGTTAGAAAGCTGACAGTTGCCCACAGCAACCATCCTTTTCCACATCCTGTCTCCCCAAGGCCTCTAACTCTGGCCTCTCCTATGCCATGTGGATTGCTCAGGAGCTGACCCAGAAGGTGGATCTGAGGCAATAAAGGAAGGCAGGTTTGTTGTGGGTGTAAAGTGAGTCAAGCTTGTCATGTCTGGCTTGTTGAGCTGCAGCAAAACTCATGCAGCCCTCAGGAATGTCTGTCCTACTGCCATCCCAAATCTGTGCTTCAAAGCCTCTCCTTCCAACCAGACCACCCTGCTTTGGTTCAGATTCTTACCCCCCTCAGGAGTTTATGATCATGTTGTTCAGTCCCAAAGAACTCATTTTTGTGGCCAATTCTTTATGGCAGAGGCTCTGTCTGGTTTGTCAGTGTCAAGATCCCAACACTGACTGTGGTTGCCAGGCAGATTCTTGCCTGGAAGGACATGAGAGAGAAGGAAGAGCTCAAGTCAGAGCAAGAGCTGAGGGACAGATCTGTCCCATGTGAGAGGGCGACAAAAGAAACCCCATCCTAGATGTAGCTGCAGTGCAAAGCTTTGCTCCTAAGCCACTTTGGCTTTCCAGGCTTCAGTGTATGGGAATGTGAGGGATTCTTTGTTGGTAGAGTGGGTGTTTTAAAGGGCAGATGAGTGATGTGAGAAGAGGCTGCCTCCCCAGAGGGATGGCTCCATCTCTTGGAGCTGGGTGAGCAGCTACAGGGGCTCTGATGACAGTTCCATGAATGGAAAATTGTTTCCAGTGACTCTTCCTGTGTGTTGCTGAGTCCTGGTGAGGAGGGGAAAAAAAAACAACAGAAACCAAGACCTGAAGTCTGTGAGGGGCCTTGATTGGAAAAGTGTTCTTCTCTTTGCTAGGGAGGGGAAGAAACATCTGACATTTCTTTTGGCCTTTGATCACAGATCCCAAAATGCAAAAGCCCATCCTGGCTCGATCTGAGCTCATCACCCTTTCTGATCAGCTGCCTGGGGCTGTTGAGGCTTGAAAGCTGCAGTTGGTAAGGGTGACATCTGCTGTGACTGTCCCACTGAACAGCTGCCAGGGCACAGCCTGGGGACACCCAGGCAGGTTTGATGTGTCACCCTGCCCTGCTGGCAGCTCATGAGCTTGGCTATAGCTGGGGGTGCTACCTTCTGCTTACATGGACCTCTTGGTCTGGCCATGACACACTGGTTTCCACCTCCAGCAGTGACATGGCCATGTGGCATCTGGGGCTACAAGTGCAGACAGGGGGACAAGGCTGCAGATTTCACCCTGGAGATTGAGTTTGGAGGAGGGGGAGCCAATTATCTGAAGGCAACAACCCTGAAAGCTTCTCAGAGTATTGAGAAGAGTGTTGTGGCCTTGGTCCTTCCTTCCCTCTTGCTGGAGGAATGGTGGGAGTGCCCAGGCAGTTGGCACTGCCCTGTCCCCAGCTTCAGTGTCTGGCTGCACTGGTAGAGAATTGTTAGTGCTGTGTCCCTTGGAATCATAGAATGATAGAACAGTTTGGGTTGGAAGGTACCTTGAAGATCATCAGGTTCCACCTCCCTGCATGGGCAGGGACACCTCCCACCAGCCCAGGCTGCTCCAAGCCCCATCCAACCTGCCTTTCAACACTGCCAGGGATGGGGCAGCCACAGCTTC